TAAGCCTCAAGAAATGAAAGAGGAGAGGGCTGGAAATTACACAATATTTGAGATGTGCTATTGATAGATATTTAAAGTGCCCATATTGATAGATACTCATCCCTGAAATGCTCTTCCCAAATTTCCAGCACTGTATACTGTTGAACACTGTTTTTTAAAATAAAATAACCCCCTAAATTAGTTCTTCTTTAAGCACACTTCTATCTGTGAAGTTAAGGAAGCTGTCAGCAAAACAAAGCTCATTTTTCCCATCTTTTAAGTAGGAAAAGCACAGTAGGAGTCAGGGTAACGATTTGCCCACAGCTCTAAGCAGGTTAACGTTTTCAGGCCACTGTTTTATCCTCTGGGTCCCCCTGCCTCACACTTCCCCAGCACATCTTGTTTATAGTAAAGAAATTAAACTGAAATAATAAACCAATCAGTATTGTATTATTAATACCCCTCTTTTTCTGTGCTTTGTAGATGGGGACAGAGAGACAGATGTGTTTACAATGTTCAGTCTGTTGAACCTGAAAATAAGAATGTGGGCTGCTTAAAAATATAGCCATCAACTTATGGAGTTGCCACCGTATTCAGTGTCCGCCATGTAGCACTCAAAAAGATTTTGTAAAGCCAACTTCTGCTGAATGTACTCATAAATATTAGAATATTCTTGATATGCTACACTGAAAACATTCAATCTGAGCTGTGAGCAACTAGTGTTGCATATCAATTTTTGGAAAATGCTAGTATTTGTATCCAGAGATCCTACCAGCAATACAAAGTGGCAAGATACTGAAACTGGCAATACAATGCCTTTGGGTCGAAGTATCCCATTGTACATAAATTCACATAATGAAGTTCAGTACAAAGCAAACTAACAATGGACTTGGCAAAGAGAAACAGATCAGCAGCTGCACTGGGAATTCAATGGAGAAAACTATTTTAATACTCCATGTGTACATAAAATTGTCTTTGAAACTGAGATGCAAATAATATATATTAAAATTAAAATTTCTTAAAATAAAATTCAGGCTTGCTTAAAATATAAACCAATTTCAGAATCAAAGTTTTTGGAGAGCTGTGATTAGCTGATGAGACGTGTTTTAGACAGATGATACAGTAGCTGGCACTGTATCATTATTGCCTTGCATTCTTTTTTTCCCCACACTGGCTGTTATACTTCATATATACAATTCTGAATACATTTTAAAGTCTTTTGGAGTTACATTAAGAAGTCGGCGAATTACTCAAAACTTGTCTTTCTCCATGGGAGGAGGAAAAAAGGAGCATATTATGCAAATATAAAGCAATGCAGGCATTGCTCAACATAAACAATACTAAACAGTATAATTTAAAACAAAAAATGCAGTTACTGATTTTTAATATCTGCATTAAAGGTCTCCATTCTAAGTAATTACATTTTGTAGGGAATATCTTTAAATGACGTTGTGCCTATTTAAAAGAAATTAGGAGAATATTATACAAACAAGGTGAAGAAAATACATTTTTTTGTGACCATTTTTTCAAATACCTTCCCCTCCCCCAATATTTAAACTGGACATTACTAAAACTGCTACAAAGAACACAAATTAAAAGATGGGTCTGGTATTTTAAAAACAATTATTTTGAGATTTTTTTTTCCTTTTCTTTTAGGGTAGATAATTGGCCAAACTCTCTCATCTTTTTTATGCTTCCACAAAAACATACCCACCTACTGCTTGCTCTGAGCCCAGGTGGGAGACAGGCAGAGGATTTTTGGAAGAGAGAGATGAGCTTATGTCACCCAATATCCACATGCTAAAGGAAAAGGCTTTTTGGACCTGGGGAAACCACTGTCAGGGTCTGCCTAGAGAATCAAACTTTATTCATGAATCAAGCAGCTGTCAGGTGAGATACAGCAGCTGATGATGTTGCCTAACATCATGTCATCTCTGTGGGGAACCCTGCCTTAACACCTGGGCCAGTACAAAGGCTCCCATAAGGTTCTTGTCTCTTCCCCAAATCCCCTCCTGTCCTGTGGAAAAGCTGCCTTTTAACTGTACCAGCAATCCTTCAGATCATGTGGGTATTTCAGCAGTTCCCAGGTATTGCTGAAGATGGTAACACTTGTGGCTTTGTAGGGCAAAGCCTGACTTACTCAAGAGAACAACACTGGAGGCAGGCTAAGAGAGGAGGGGGAAGTCCCTGCCAAAATAGGAGCTACATGGTTGGAAGGGAAAACCTCTCTGGAAGATCAAATGTACACCCCCACAAGCTTCCATGTCAGTTTTGAACCCTGCTTGCTCTGCCTCAGCATTTGAATAAGGCTGAAAGTGCGGACTGAGATACTTCACTGGCTCTGTAGCACTGCCAAGCCCAACACTTGTGCTCTTCGCCACAGGATAGGAGGAACTGGAGGAGCCTATGAACCTTCTGGCAACATCAAAACCTGCCTTCAATAACACACCAATCCCTGCTTTGCAGCAGGTGTCCAGTGCTGCCTGCAAAGTGGCTCTGGAATACAAAGTATTTTATGGACCTTTTCTGAAAAAAAGAGAAAAAGAAGAAAAGAGAGGGAAAAAAGAGAACACTAGGGGGAAAAAAAAAAAGAAACAAACAAAAAATGTTTTAAAAAGATGATGTCTACTTTTGTTTTGCACATCTTCCAGCTCTACAAAAAACACACAGAGAATAACTACCTGGCAGTCCACTGTCAAGACTTGTCCACTGATATGCAGAGTGACTTCCACCTTTACCAGCTGCCACTAATCACTTCCAAAAGCTGCCAGCCCACAGCCTGCACTGGACCTCCTAGATTTGTACTCCGATACACTCTACATCTCAAACTTTTAATTAAGAGGAGAAGAAAAAAAAAAGTTCATCTAAATCAATTCAAATGTACCATTTCTCCCAATTACTGTGAATGCAGAGGTCATCATCATGTTGCATCATTACATTGAGGAATAATTTAGCATGAAGTTCTATAAATTAGCTTAAATAGCTTGTGTGTTTTCATCCATAACAGCATATTTCATAAAGATATACTACTGCTTTTCTGTGTACAAGGAACTAAATTGAACAGGCACATTACATCTATTTTGTAAGAACTTTAATGAGAAAAGCCTGATACGAACCTTCCCCCACTGCCTATCTATGAAATTTAAACAGAAGAAAAAAGAGATCTTATTTTCTACTGCACATTAGACTCTGATGCTCCAGATTGCCTTTTTTTTTTTTTGAGGAATGCACCACATTCCTGGTATTTCTATTCAACACAAGCTTGTTTTTTAAAGAAAAGGGTTCAATTTTTACAGTGACATATGTAAGAAAAGCACTGACAGAAAACTCTGATATATCATTACAACTTAATCTAAGGAATCATCAATTTAAAGAGAAATGGTAATTGCATATAAAGTACAACCCAATCCCTTAGCTGAATCAAGGGATGGTAGTTTAGGATGCTATATATCAAACCTCAAATACCCTACCTACTTTTATGTCCTGACAGTGGATGACCTTTCCAAAAAAAGCAGCACAATGCACCTACACGCTATAAACAGATAAGAATTCTTATAGAACCTGTGTTGCATGCTGAATTCTTTACAAAAAACCCAATAAAATAAAATCAGAGAGAGCTCCATCAGTTTTGTTTTGGAACACTGGCAAGTACGTACATAATGACTTTCCCCTCTTGAAACGTCTCAGCTTCATTCTTATGCATAGACTTGAAGGGTCATTTATGTGTTTGGCTTGTTGCATCAATTCAGAGGATAGAGTTACTGTAAAAATTTACATTACTGCAGGCTTGTAGTGATGAAGCAGGCAAGCACAAGAAGAAAGCCTTTATTGCTTTTATTTTAGATTTGATGGAAAAGTGTAGTCATTTAGTATGACAACAGCCATCATGAAATTTGATTTGTTTATTGATTAAATTATGTTTTATTTAAGCAGAATTTTGAAAGCATTGAAATTTCTAGATAAAGCACAAATTTGACCTACCCATTCAGATGGTGTTGTTCCTGAATTGATCATGTATTTCAATTTGCTGTACCCACTTCAGTTTATAGTTGTGACATTTGCAGTGCACCAAGGACACTTACTGAAACTCAAACTTAATTTGAGTAAAACACTACTCTATATACTACTCTCCCCAGAAAACTCATTTATTAAAAATGGGCAAAAAAAAGTTTTCATTTCTCCTAGAATGCATAAATTGCTTGTAACAAAGATGGCACTTTATTTAAAATCAATTTATAGAATGCTTTACTAAATAAATGTATTTTTGAATCTTGATGGCTTAGGTTTTACTGTAACTTGCTACTCTGCTGAAGGTCTTGGAATCACAGGTGGATTAGTCCCTTGGTGCAGATAATAAGGTGAAGGACAGATTTTTAAGAACTAAGCAGTTCTAGCTTTCAACTAATGGTGCAGCTCACTTGCAGCCCAACCAAACCTCTGAGCTTTTCCCCCACGCCTGCCAACCGCTTTTTTTCCTGTCTTTTTGAGGTGCAGGCTGAGTTAATTTTGGGCTGGAAGAGTTCCCTGAACCTGCATGCTGGTGCAAAAAAAGAGGACAGCACTGTGCAGGGACAGATTTAGATGGCTGAAAACACTACGGGTCACCTTGGTTTGAAATGCACCACGTGTTTCTAATAACTAATGCAAGCTTCAAACCCCTAAATTCCCAAACATCTCACTGTTCCTTATATGCAACACTACTCTCATTCATCTGTTTTTTCTTGATTTATTTCTCACTTCAGTTATTCCAAAGAACTCAAAACAGAAAAACACTTAGCCTCCAAATCAAATTTAAATGTGTATTTGCGGTTCTTGCTATTGGGTTTTTAACCATTTTTATCTTTTTATGAAGTTATTCAAAGCCGGTTAAGGTATTTCAGGTTCAACACACTTTCTAAACTTTTTGTCTTAGTAAAGCTACTGTATTACTAAAGATAACAAACCAGGTTATAAGATAGTGAAGACAGCAAATATTTGCCTGCAGTATCATAAAGAATAGGAATTAAAATTATTGTTGATACCTGTGGTTAAAGGCAGATGAGTGACAGTAGTTAGACAGGTGAGAGTGAACCAGGTTGATGCCAATGTTGCTCCAGATAAAAGCAGCAGCAGTATGAACTTCAGCATGCCCCTGATAAAATCTGCAAATCTGAAATAAAAGCACACATCAGAGCAGTACAAATGATGATTTTCATATTATCTAAATGTGATGCTTGACAGTTAATTCAGTATATTCTCACTGAACATTCTGGAGACTATAAAAACAATTTATTTGTTTTTTAAATTCTCCTTTTCAAAAATAGAAAAAAGGTATTTTTATAGAATGGTGATATTTCTAGCTGTCAAGCTGAAGAACTATGGATTTTTTAGCTGTCATGAAGTAACAACCAAACCAGAACAATTCTCAAGCAATTCTCAAGGCATCAAATGAAAACACTGGAGGAAAGTGTTTTTTTTTTTCTTCTACATTTGTTGGACACAAGATCTCACCACTACTTCCATCGCTGTTTTGTCAGCATTTG